TTGAATAAAATCCTATTACACGTATGTTTAAGTATAAAAGCATTGCCTATAAACTCATGCAAAACATGTCATTATTAAAAAACTACAGTGCGTCTAATAATTAGGTCGAATTATTATAATTTCTAATATATATAATTCTCTTACGTGGATCACAAAATGTCTGGACAGACCCCTGACCACATACATTTCATTTCGTAGGTAAGTTCGTCCAACACTTTTTGGAATTATTGTTTCATGTATATAATAAATATATTTATAAATTAATGTCTGCATATCCTTTATTGACACTTAAACCGTCAGACAGAAAGCAATAAAATTGGCATAGCGATATTTCGAAGCACGATGAAGGTCACTGTCGACATTAGAACATGACAAACCATTCGAGCGGGATTAGCGAAAAGCGAAATGGAATTATAAGTTAAGTTAGCCATTGTTTCAATTTTAACTGCAAACGATTTAATTTTTCAAATATTTTAAAGACAGCATAAGTGATATTTTCTAGCTTATAGCTCTATTTGATGCAAAAAAAAGTTTATGCGAGTACGTTTATGTTTAATTATTTTTATTTGTAATATTCACCTTATTTCTGACGGAAGTTCTCTCTATTATCAGGAACTCGGCACTGTCGGAAGGCATACGTTAAGGGCTTATGATCAGAGTATATAGTGAATAAACGTGCTTCAAGCATATGTCTAAAATGTTTAATTGACAAATATACCGAAAGCAATTCCCGATTATAAGTGCTGTATCGCGTTTCCCTAGGAGTAAGTTTTTTGGAGAAAAATCTAAGAGGTTGCAAATCGTTACCTATCAGTTGGACGGTTTTTGAATTTAAGAGTCGATAATCTCCAACTGGTCTTATATTCGAATTTTTAATAACAACATGAGATGGAGAAGGTCAGACACTTTTTGAAGGACGACATATACCCAGAGCAGGATTATACCTTTCGTAGGCCCTAGGCACAGCCGTTTCTGGGACTTCCCCTCCTTCCCCCACTCCTCCCCTCTTTTCAAAATATATGCTAAAATTTTCTTGCATATTTTTTTTTTTACATTTTTATTAATATGGATTTTAATTTGAATACGACATTTTGCGTAGTTTGGAATTCGACAGCATAATACAAGATTTCGTTGAATCCAAAAATCGCAAAAAAGTAATATATTTGATCATAAGATTCTGCAAAATAATTTATTACCGAAAAATACTATATTTTTATTTGTATCTTCATAATTTTGTGCAAAATACACTTGTTGTTTTTAAAGCTAAATTACTTTTGTCAACAAATTTTTTTCTCCCAATTTTTTCGTAGGCCCTAGGCACGTGCCTAGTGTGCCTATAGGTTAATCCGGCCCTGCATATACCTTTTTCGCACATTGTTAAAAATTCGAGCTTAACTGCTTCGAAAACTTTTGGATGTAAGCGACGTGGCTTACAATGTACAGGTGAACGAACCTGTTGTTTTAATGTGATGAACGGTAGAATGTTTAAAAGATTTTCTTTCTTGCGATGGGTTAGTAATATCCGAGAATTCTTGTAATAAATTTTGAAAAGGCATATTAGATACTGAGAAGAATTAGCAAAATAGCCTCTCGACTTTAAAGAAGTGTTTGAATCAATGAGGCGTTTATTCTTCAGAATAAGTAATGCATAATGCTTTAAAAAATCAGCGCCAATTATTGGCGAGGAGACATCCGCGAGAATAAAATCCCAGCCAAATGAACGACGGAGGTTAAATGATAATTTTAAATGTTTCGTTCCGTAAGTTCTAATGGGTGAATTATGCTTTTAGGCGTATATTTATATTTACTGTGAGAAATAGGCAGAACGCAACATGAGCTTCCCGAATCTATAAGAAAATTTAAGTTTGTATTTTCATCATAAATGAATAATCTGTTGCCTAATTTATTAGCCACGGAATCTGCAGACAAAACAGACGACGTGACACCGCATCTTTTCCAAACCGAAAATGATAAAAACAAAATGAAAGTTCTGATTTACTTCTTGTCCTTGAGTTTGAACGGCCATGAGAATTTGATCGGCGCCGGTATTGCTGCATAGACATTTTCGCTACTTGTAATCTGAGCTATGAAATTTAATTTTGAAGAGCAACAAATGAATTATTTTTTAGATCGGTTTCAGTTTCATTATTTTAATGGAATTTATGTGCTGGATGGGGAAAGTTTCAAGTATTTTTTCAGCTAGTAAAGCCAATTTAACCAGTGTTTGATCTGTTAAAATTGAAAAAATAGATTGTACATGGGGGGGGGGTAAACGTTGTAGCCATATTGTTTTATGAAAATCCTTAGTTACTGAATCGGTAGCAACTCCTCGCATTTGTCGTAGGAAAAGAGAGGGTTTTTGGTTCCCTAATTGAAGTTTTGAAAGTAGTTTTCGAATGCGTATATTATCCGAATCCATAAATTCGGTGATGAGACGTTCTTTTAAAGTATCATATTTATTAGCAGCAGGGGTTGAAAATAACAAATCTGATACATGAGATATCGTTTCTGCATCGATGTGTGCAATAAGACTTGCGCATTTAGTTTCATCCTTGGTTATGTTAGATAATGTAAATGCACTTTCAACTTGTAAAAACCAAAGTTTAATATTTATACGCCAAAAGGGGGTAATTTAAGTGCAACCTTATCTACGTGAGTATTTTCATCGATATTTGACTGCATATTAAAATGTAATAATGCTTATATGTAATGAAGTTAAATTAATATACAGTATGCAAATTAAGAAACAAAAATTTAAAAGCCACAGTACCGTTTTTATGAAACTTCCGATATCCAAAGTAGTTATTCCATTTGAACTAGTTATTCCATTTGAAACATATCTCTTTAATATTTGAACGTCCGGCTGTCACCACTGCGGTGGTTGGTTGTTGTCCAGGAGATAAATAGATTGAGTTTGCATTTTAATTAGTATTTATTTTACATTTAAGTGTAAGAAGAGAAAATATGAAATAATAGCAGCGAGGCATTCAACAATGGCGGTTAGGATTCTTCTAGTGAAAATGACAGAGACAGTTACTGATCACGGTTACGATTAAGTTAAGTTCAGTCGCCGCAATAGTAATTATTTTGAAATGTGTTAGTATAAAAGTAAATAATTTGAAATCAATGGTAATTGGGTATAATATGAAATGTGACGTAGGCTATATTATACTCAATTGATGTGAAAACAAACTAGTTATTTATTCAAAGGCAAAATTAATGGAAAAGTAATACTAATTTGCTTAGAAGAAACATAAAAAAACCCTAATTATTATTTTCGCCAATGATTCTTAATTTAGGTAATATAATGCTTATTGAAATTAAAGAAATAAGTTACGCACTGAAAGACAAGATTAAAGAAGTTAATTAACTTACTCGCTTAGAGGAACCGCTAAATTGGCCATACTGTTATTCACTACAATAATGCTTAATTAATGTTAATAATATGTATTGAATGAAATAAAACAAAAATAACCTATCTACTAAAAAGCAGAATTATTGGAGAAAAGATATTTATTCGTTTTGAGGAACCTTAAAAATTCTCCATTTTATTATTGATACCAATGGTTAATTAACACTGGTAATATATATTTATTAAACTGAGAAAGAGTAAGCTGCGTGCTAAAATAGCCAATGGAAATGTTTTTAGAAGAAGAGTAGAAAATCGCCATTCGCAGAATATGCTTAGTTAATTTTGGTAATATGTATTACTGCTTTGTAGTTCTAAAAAGAATCGGAAGAGGGGGACAGAGGTGTTTCTGATGTTTTGGACGAAAAGAGATGCTGAAGATGCTTTCCCTATTTTTATTATAGCTCTGTGGTCAGAATAGACATGTTGATTTCTAACTTTAATGACAAATATGTTCTTATTTATTGTTTGGAGATTCATGGCACCTATTGTCTTTATTTGTACAGCGCCAACAAACAATAACATAAGGAATGAGTTAAACAATTATAATGTAAAATAGAATTGAGCTTGTTTTGATAAGTTAACATTTCATGGAAAAAAAATATGTCCTTTAAGTTACATTCTTATATATATTAATTATGGTATATATATATAGAGAGAGATATTTGTTTTATACTGTTTTTTCCTTTTATTTTATTTTCTGTTTTTACGTGTTATTTTTACTTATTGTGTTCTATTTTATTTGTTGTAATTTTTGTAAAAAAATATTTTTTTAAATGCTCCTCCCACTTTTGTATTAATATATTTCGCTTTGGCTATATTGATACAATATCAGAAAGCACTCTTTTTTGCGGATATAATCGTGTGGGCTGATGAAAAGATTATAACTTTTATTTTCCGGTTTTTTAAAAAAAATTTCATCCTTTTCTTTTCTTTTTTTTGGATCAGTTTTTTTTTTCTTTTTTTTTTCATTATTATTAGGGCTGAAGAAAGGATTATATCTTTTTTTCCTGTTTTTTAATTAACATTTCATTTTTTTTTAAATCAACTGTTGTTTGTTATTTTTTTACTTATTATTTCCCCCCCCCTTTTTTTTTTTCATCGTTCTTATGTATCATTATTATATACGTTACTGTGAATAACCTAAACGGGTGGTTGTTGACTCTCACCGGTGAATGTTTACAATCATTTAGTCGCTTTAGTAAATGTCTGAAATGCATATTAGGTCTAGTTACGTGCCCTTACCTAAATATACATTTGTCCGGTATGCCCTACATCAATGCCTTTTTACGATCAAGTACTACTGCCCAGTGTGCATTTAACTGGTGCTCCTAACACTGATGTCTCTCCTAATCTATCCTCAGCAGATATTAAAATATCGAATAAATATAATAATATCAACAAATAAACTAATATTAAATCGGATGTAACAAATATTTCGGACATTCACCAAAACGACTGTGTGATTGTTGACATTCACCGGTGAAAGTCGACATTCTTCTGATTTCGGTCATTTACGGTAACGTAATAAGCAACAAATTTTCTACACATAACTAATTTTTTTATATATATATATATATATATATTTTTCAGGTCACGCAATGATTTCAGTAGATAGTTTTGCTGTGAAAATGAAAATATCTACCAAGAACAGTGAATCAAGTTGTCAAGTTATTAATTTGGGAAAATATGAGCTAAAAAGACTCACAGGCATGAGTATTCTGCTGAACTGGTTGGTTAAACTTGTAGTCAATGTCGTTGCCAGAAAGTCGCGAAAAAAAATTATAAGGGCTTTAGAGCAATTTTTTTCATGAAACTTCCATGTGAAATATTTCTTCTATTAAATAATTACATCACGAATTTATAGTAATTTTTACTATAAGAGCAGCTGTACAAAGTTTGTGCTGGACACACAAGTAGTACTAGTATAAAGTACACACTAATACAAAGCTTGTGATATCACCAGAAAGAGCTCTTGTAACTGTTTTTTTACAGAATCATATATTTATTTGATTGTTGCCACCATTTGATACATTTTCTCCTTGCTTGTTAAATAAAACCCCGCTATAGTGAACCTTCAAAGGACCGAAATTTCGCTTCACTATAACCGGGAGTTCACTATATCCGTTACGTAGGCAATTTCACTAATGGTTCCCTAACTCCTCCCTTTTATTACATTATATTCGGATAAATGACTGAAAAATATTATGTAGTAGCAAAAAATGTGTTATTTTTCATCACTCTTAGTCATGCGTACAAATAAAAATT